GAGTCTCTCCTCTTCGTTGAATACTGTTCCTTTATTTGAAAAAGAGTTTTGTCTTCCTGTTCCCGTAGCACCAGGAGATCCACGAAGCCAGTCTGTGCAAGAATCTGAACAAACTGGCACGCCGCCGCATTGTCCTGTGAAACGACCTGATCTGACCTGACCTGAGTCAACTAAACAACTTTCGTAACTGGTCAGTAGTGAACATTAGCTAAAAGTTTGTGATATTATTGCCACGGTCGATAAGCAAGTAGTTCATATCTGCTGACGTCAAAAAATATCATTCTATGTTGTGGGATATCATGTTGATGTATTCTTCACACCATCACGGAAAATTCAGCTATCCTTTGGTAGCATGCGATTTCTTCATGGTAGTAATTTTGCAACTTGATTCATATAGGTTTCATGTAATAACGTGTTTTGTGCCAGATCAGATCACACACACTGTTCACGTATTCACATCTACTTGGAATTCACCTCCTCCGGCGCATGCTGCTCACAACCGTTCCAAATGCATCAATGAAACGATCGTCATATACTGCTGACGAAGTATGATAATAGTAACACGCTTCAATTAAATCCAAGTTCGAATGACTTGGCAAATCAGTGGTCCGAATGAGACAAGTAATAAGTTAGTTAATCTGTTTCAGTTTGTTCGCGTCAACATATGTGACTAATGGCTAATGGCTAGAGGCCGCTTCAAAATACTTATAGGATAGAAGCAAACGGAATAACGCAGCGCTGGGCCGTGCTCGGCTCTAGAGGATTGCTTGTTTTTTTTGTTGCTAACCCCGCGAATATGGGGGTTAGCCACTAATATATCTGAACCTGTTGATCCAACTATTCTATTCATGCACTCGTATTCACACGAGAGAACCATGAATTTGTTTGTTTCATTATTCGCAATTTATGCAAATGCATGTAGCCCTAATGCAGAACTATTGTCACTTCTGCATCGACATGTTTGCATTCATCACCATACAAGTAAAACTATCCTACTTAGAATGTGTTATGCGCAAAACGATCTCCTTCCGAATCGGGATTTCGCAATATCTTGAGCATAGTGGTTTTATGACTAAGCAAGTTTACAGACAAAATCGATGAAAAGTAAGTTGTTTCCAACTATTGAGGAAAGTTAGCTTGTCTTAGCCACGACGAGTGAAAACCAAAACACAAGGCAACGACTTGAAAAAGGCCTTCCAAGACGAGCGAAACGTTGTCACCAACATGTTGTGTNCACTCGTCGTGGCTAAGACAAGCTAACTTTCCCTCAATACTCATGAGCACGACGCCCAAATTTTTCAATGAGATCTGTTCCATCCATGGATCTCGTGTGATTGTTTCCAACTATATATATACAGAAAGTAACTATTTGCGCACGGAAACAATGCGATACTCTTGGGCATATACTTAGCATGATAAAAGCAAAGAACATGTACCAATTGCAAACTGGTCGCCATTCCATTCAATTTTGGTTATATGTTTGGTCAGACCAGAATTAGGAATGAAACAGACATTTGCTTATTTAATTTTCGAGGTGATTAACGAGGATTGAGAAACACACTTCCACTGTTGTTGGTAATGAAATCACTGGCGTATTGCTTTAAAAGGACATCAAGTGAGAACTAATGCCATTATAATCTAATAATGCTGCATATCATGAAGCATTTATACTTTTGAGAAAAATAAAGCTTTTAGGGAGCGGATAATGTACGACAAAGGATAGTTTCTCAGCAGGAACTTCATTTACGATCATCTGAAATCATTTGTCAGAGTAGGTACGATTTCAGCTCTATCGGCACTCTCAAAACACTCAACTCATTTTCTGAATTGCGCTTATAGCAATCCATTTGTGACTGATATTATTTTCATTGAGTATGGACCCGGAGACTAACTGTGAAACAAATGGCACTTAGCCTTTTCAAAGAAAGCCGATGACTACTTTCGAGTGGCTAAACTCCATATGCAATAATATACGCGAAAAGTAGAATTTATCTCTGCAGTTTAATGAATAAACACGAAGCTTATCTAAGTAAGTTTCTGTAAGGGTTATCTTTAGCATTCTGTTCTAAATAGATTGAATATGTGGGACACTATTGGTGTGAAACTTTTCACTGTGAAGTACCTTGACGCTCCCAGCGTTACAACGTTTGATGTCATTGAGGTTTAATGGGAAAGAACAGCAAACACCAGCACATTTATTTAAAACGTTTTGATCCAAACGTATTTAAGCGCGTGCTTTACTAAAAAAATCCAGTGCGGAAAGAAGTGGGAAACTTCCGATCTACACTAGTGAACAGTAAACACCCAAAG